GTTTGGGTTGAGGTCTGGAACAAGAAAGGAGCAGTCACTTTGTTGGGGTTTTTTTACAGACCCCCTAATAGTTGCAGAGAAGTGGAGGAGCGGATTGGGAGGCAGATACTGGAAAGGTGCAGAAGTCACAGGGTTATAGTCATGGGTGACTTCAACTTTCCAAATATTGATTGGAAACATTTTAGTTCTAATAGTTTAGATGGAGCAGATTTTGTCCAGTGCGTTCAGGAAGGATTCCTGACACAGTATATAGACAGACCAACATGAGGAGAGGCCACTTTGGATTTGGTGCTTGGCAATGAACCAGGCCAAGTGTTAGACCTGTTGGTAGGAGATCATTTTGGCGGTAGCGATCATAACTCTGTTACTTTTACAGTAGTCATGGAAAAGGATAGGTATATACACCAGGTTAAGGTTTATATTTGGGGGAAGGGTAATTATAATTCTGTTAGGCAAGAACTGGGTAACATAAAATGGGAACAGATGCTGTCAGGGAAGAGCACTATAGAAATGTGGAGATTGTTTAAGGAATGCATACTGCATGTGCTCAATATGTTTGTCCCTAGCAGGCAGGGAAGATGTGGTCGAGTGAGGGAGCCTTCGTTCTCGAGAGGCCGAACGACTGGTTAAGAGGAAGAAGGATGCTTATGTAAGGTTTAGGAAACAAGGAACGGAAAAGGCTCTGCAGGGATACAAGTTAGCCACGAAGGAGCTGAAGAAAGGACTTAGGTGAGCTATATGGGGGCATGAGAAAACCTTGGCAGATAGGATCAAGGAAAACTCCAAGGCTTTTTACATGTACGTGAGGAAGAAGAGAATGACCAGAGAAAGGGTAGGGCCGATCAAGGATTGGAAAGGGAATTTGTGCACGGAGCCTAAAGATATAGGATAGATCCTTAATGAATGCTTTTCTTCGGTATTCACAACTGCGAGGGACCTAGCTGTAAAGGAGGACAGTGTGAAACAGGCTGGTCGGCTAGAGGAGGTCGATGTTAGTAAGGAAGATGTACGAGGAATTTTGAGGAACTTGAAGATAGATAAGTCCCCCGGGCGTGATGCGATTTATCCAAGGATTCTATGGGAAGTGAGGGAAGAGATCGCAGGGCCTTTGGCGATGATCTTTTCGTCCTCACTGTCCATGGGTATAGTGCCGGAAGCTTGGAGAGTTGCAAACGTCATTCCCTTGTTCAAAAAAGGGAATAGGGATAACCCTGGAAATTATAGGCCAGATAGTCTTACGTCAGTGGTGGGCAAATTATTGGAAAGGGCTCTGAGAGATAGGATTTATGATCACTTGTAAAGGCACAGTTTGATTCGTGATAGTCAGCATGGATTTGTGAGGGGTGGATCATGCATCACAAACCTAATTGAATTCTTTGAAGAGGTGACAAAACACATGGATGAAGGTACAGCAGTGGATGTGGTATACATGGATTTAAGTAAGGCATTTGATAAGGTTCCCCAGGGTAGGCTCATGCAGAAGGTAAGGAGGCATGGGATAGGGGGAAACGTGGCAGACTGGATTCAGAATTGGCTGACCCTTAGAAGACAAAGGGTGGTACTGGACAGAAAATATTCAACATGGTGATCAGTTATGAGTGGTGTACCACAAGGATCTGTTCTGGGTCCTCTTCTATTTGTGATTTTTGTAAATGATTTGGATGAAGGAGTGGAAGGGTGGATTAGTAAGTTCGCGAACGATACGAAGGTGGGTCGTGTTGTGTACAGTGCAGAGGACTGTTCTAGGTTACAAAGGGACATTGATAGGATGCAGAGCTGGGCTGAGGAGTAGCAGATGGAGTTTATCCCTGAAAAGTGTGAAGTGATTCATTTTGGAAAGACAAACTTGAAAGCAGAATACAGGGTTAATGGAAAGATTCTTGGCAGTGTGAAGGAGCAGAGGGATCTCGAGGTTCATGTCCACAGATCCCTGAAAGCTGCCACCCAGGTGGATAGAGTTGTTAAGAAGGCGTATGGTGTGTTAGCTTTCATTAACAGAGGGATTGAGTTCAAGAGCCGTGAAGTTATGCTCCAGCTATACAAAACCCTGGTTCGGCCACATCTAGAGTATTGTGTCCAGTTCTGGTCGCCTCATTACAGGAAAGATGTGGAAGCATTGGAAAAGGTGCAGAGGAGATTTACCAGGATGTTGCTTGGAATGGACGTAAGGTCTTACGAGGAAAGGTTGAGAGAGCTAGGGCTTTTCTCTTTAGAACAACGAAGAATGAGAGGTGATTTGATAGAGGTGTACAAAATGATCAGAGGTATAGATAGAGTGGACAGCCTGAGACTTTTTCCTCGGGTGGACGTAGCTATCACAAGGGGGCATAGTTTTAAAGTGAGTGGAGGTAGATATAAGGGAGATGTCAGAGGTAGGTTCTTTACTCAGAGAGTGATTGGGGCGTGGAACGCATTGCCGGAGAGGGTAGTGGACTCGGCCTCATTAGGGGCATTTAAGCAGCTATTAGATAGGCATATGGATGATAGTATAAGGTAGGGGTGGAGGTTAGATAGACCTTAGGATTAGGGTAAAAGTTTGGCACAACATTGTGGGCCGAAGGGCCTGTACTGTGCTGTACTCTATTCTATGTTTTCTTGAAATGAAATTAGGACATCCTCCAATACATCTTCCCTTACTGGCACTGGATGTGGCAAAACTGCCAATTTTAAATCTGAGATCAGGTATTAGCTCACTAATTACCAAATTTATTCAATTTAATTTCACAAAATTCTGGTCTGGAAGCAATAAAACACACATTTATCCCATCAAACATATTAGTATAAAAAACCATTTCATCTTAATAATGAATCCATAGAATCGGTGCACTATGGATGCAGGCCATTCAACCCGTTCAAGTCCCCACTGAAGAGTGTCACACCCAGATCCACCGCCCCACCTCATCCCAGCACTGAAACCCTGTATTTCTCATGGCCAACCTACCTAGCCTGCACAACCATGGACACTACAGGCAATTTAGCATGGCTAATCCACCTAACCTGCACATCTTTGGTGTGTAGGAGGAAACCAGAGCATCCGGAGGAAACCCACACAGACATTGGAAAAACCTGCAAACTCCACACAGACAGTCATCTTGAGTCTGGACTTGAATCCAGTCCCTGGCACTATGAGGCAGCAGTACTAAGCACTGAGCCACCCTTCCTAGGAATTCATCTAGCTGGCTTGTAAATTAATTCTTCAATATCACTGTAAGAGATCACATTGTTTTCATTTTTTTAGAATTATAAACAAATAGATGTTGCACTGCTATAACTGAAAATGAAAGTAAGCTTTTTGCAATAAGGAAATAAAGTGTTGCAAACTGTTGAGCTGTGCAACACAATGTTGCTTTCTGGAAGCAGTAAGAGGGCAAATTCAAGACTGACACGGAATCTTTTGAGTTACAGAAATTCTGCCTGCCTGGCAACAGTCCTCTGATTGATTGAGCTGCAGTGTTTTAAAAGCTGTAGGTTCCAAGAGCAGCAGACTAAAAAACATCCAGAGCTGTAGACTGAAGCGTCCATCTGTCTTCCTCCATGTGGGGAAAAAAAAGACAGAAAAACCAAGAAAACTGAAAAGAAAGAAAGAATTTATACAAGAAAAGACCAGACCTTCATCTGTCGTTTACTGATTGAATTGAAGAACGGCTGTCACCATAAGACAACAACGTATCACTGCCAAAATGAAAAAGACTGGAAGAAATAAATTTCCATTTTGCGGTCTGGACATTCAATGATCTTTGAAATTTTGTTTACCCAGCATAAACTTATATTTTTCCACCCAAGTTATACTGCTGTAGTCTGTCTTACTTGTGATAGAATCTCTGTGTATCTGGGGTTTTTAAGAGGTATAATTTAAGATACATAAATTAGAAATCCTTTCTTTTCACTGTTCTTGTTGAAGTTATGTGATAGAATAGATAGTTATTTTTCTAATACCGAAGAAGCTTGGTGTGAAGTTCTTTTCTCCTAATTCGCAGTTAGTTAGGCAAATTGGTCATTTTGGCGGTGTCACTTGGTGTTCAATGCATTTATACATCTTGCAGCATTTTGAGGAACCATGGGGCATGATTATTGACACACACTTATCAGTTAAGTCATGAAAGTAACCAGTCCTGCAACTTGTTTCCCAACTCATTTTTGTTATTCACTTAAATTATCCTTCTTGATACCATATTACACAACCTAATTTTCTTTTGAATAACAACATATACTAGCTTTTCTTTTGTCACTTGAACTTTCCTTCAGTTCTATAGCAGTTGATAAACTCAAAGAAACAGACAGACAGTGAAATATATTTTATCTTATAATTCTCTGAACTAGGTAGGCTCTTTTTGATATAACAAGGTGTAGAGCTGGATGAACACAGCAGGCCAAGCAGCATCATAT